TATATATATATTTATTTATTTATTTATTTTTTCACAAAACTCAAACTCAAAGTGTTATTTAAAGTGATAAACTTTAGTTTCACTTGGATAACTTGATATTTGAGATAATAAGATTAAGTTTTTAATTAAAGAATTAATTATTTAAAAAACTGAAAATTGAGAAAATATTTTATAAATAAAATTTTAAAATAATTAATAACTTAATGTCTGTAAAGTATAAAAATATTAAAGAATAATAAAGTAACATTATTCCTTAAAAGAATATTGTTTTTGCTGGTCCCTTTAAAAGAATATAGTTCCATTTTAAATTTTACTGGGTGAATGTCATTAATTTAGTATATAATTAGCCAATAAAAGGATGTAATAAGTTCCACAAGTGTGCTTTACTCCTAATCATTTTGAAGAGTCATTTTTGAAGAGTATTTGAAATAATAACCAGAGTTAAAGAAACTTCCTTTTTATTACATAGCAAATGAAAACAATATACTATTTCTCAGAAATGACATAGAGACATTAATTAGTTTCTTTCTGAGAGTGAAGCAACATTTGCATATAATTGGCTCAATGTATTCTTAAAATTTTGCTAATTAGAGTCCTATATAGTGTTCATCGCTTCAATTCTTTTCTGATCACACAAACAAAGATTAAAAAATGTCTGCAGCAAAAGAAACAAATGGACAGTGCCAATTGCCCAAGGAAGACTGTAATGGTGAAAAAGGGGGCAACCATAAGCTCAACAAGTATGTTTGTGTTTGTGTGATGGCTACCACTATTATCTCTGCTATATTTGGTTATGGTGAGTGACTTACTCTCGTCTCTTCAAATATAATTGCTTGCGTGATTAACTAGTTCTTGTGTTTGTATGGTTTTAAATGTCCAAAATGTATTTGTCACAAGATTTCCAGTTATTAGAACGAGATTTGTCACTAATGATATATTATTTATGGTTGTTACAAAATAAATAAGTTTTGATTTTAATTTCTGTTAATTTTTTCTTTATTTTTGATTCTTATAAAATTTAGAACTATTGATTTTAGTTTTTGTTATTATATAAATATATATTTTTAACTACTTATTTATTTATTAAAAGGTTAAATAAATATCTCATGTGTTATTCATAACTATTAATGATATCATGTTGATGTTACACCTCTAAATCTTTTTATAGATCATTAAAATAAATATTATTTATCTACCTTAAAATCACAAACCAAAAGTAATAATTTTTAGATTTTAGAGGAATAAAGATCAAAAGAAAAATATTTTACAAAGACCAAAATCAAAATCTATTTATTTTACAAGAATCAAAAATATATTATAAGGACTAAAAATAATGTTTCTAAATTTTAGAAGGATGAAGAATAATTTTTTTTTTTGTAAGAACCAAAATAAAAAATTCTCATTTTATAAATAATAAAAACATATTTAAACCTTATTTAATTATAATTATATTTTATCTTGACACTAATATTATTTATAATAATAATCAAATGAATGAACGTAAAAACTAAAACGGGTGTTATTAATATATAGATTTAATAGATCATTTAGTACTTAAAATTTTTAAGAAATTTTAATTAGATCTCCAAACTAAAAGAATTGTAATTAATTTGTCCATCTTTTAATTTAATTTAATTTATGAGATTAGAAATTCGTTTATGATTTATGAAAATTTACAAAATATTCTTTATATTCTTATATGTAGACAAATACATTAAATTATTATTCCATGTTATCATCCTTGTATACCATGTTTTGATTTTTATCTACTAAAATTTCATACTATTACATAATTCTTATGATAAGAAAGATTATTTGAAATTTTTTACAAGATTTTATAGGCATGAATGTGGATACAAGTATTTTATAACTCAACTCAATGCAACCGGGTAATGTATTTTTTTTTAATTTTAATTTAATATTTTTTTTATTTGATAAGAAAATATAATTCATTTTCATCAAATTAATTTTAATAGGAGTAAAATAATACTTTCAATCATAATTTTATATCTAAGTTAGAAATTGAATCTTAATTGATTAAGAAATACAAATTTTGAATTACTTAAACTAACGAGTTTTAATTATTTAATATTTAGACTTTGAAATATATTTTTAGATGAAGTTAAATAATTTTGTTTGTTTTTTTGTAATACTAGGAGTTATATTTTCTTTTTTGGGTGAAGTTTGGAATATTATCTTTAAGTGTTTTTCAATCAAATTATATAGTATACTTTTTATCAATGCTCTCTTATTGTTAGGTTTTTATTTTTAATGTTAATATTATAAAAACTAAATTTATTCGTTAATTTTTTAATGCTTAATTTATTCGTTAATTAATATATAAGCAATAATATTATTTTTCAGTAACGGGAGTGATGGCTGGAGCCCTATTATTCATAAAGGAAGAACTTCAAATCAGTGACCTACAAGTGGAGCTCTTGGCTGGCATCTTAAATGTGTGTGCCCTACCTGCATGCATGGCCGCAGGAAGAACATCTGATTACATAGGTCGCCGTTACACCATCGTTCTGGCTTCCGTCATCTTCTTATTGGGCTCCCTTCTAATGGGCTATGGCTCATCCTATTTAATCTTAATCATAGGAAGATGCATCGTGGGAAGTGGTGTAGGTTTTGCATTGATCATAGCACCAGTTTACAGTGCAGAAATTTCATCTCCTTCCTATAGAGGCTTTCTCACCTCTCTCTCAGACGTTTCCATCAACTTTGGACTCTTGCTTGGCTATGTGTCAAACTACTTCCTTGGAAAATTGTCCTTGAATCTTGGATGGAGAATGATGCTGGCTCTTCCTGCGGTTCCTTCTCTTGTTCTTGTGATTCTCATGTTGAAGTTGGTGGAGTCTCCAAGGTGGTTGGTCATGCAAGGACGTGTAGGTGAGGCTAGGAAAGTGCTTCTACTAGTGTCCAACTCAAAGGAAGAAGCTGAACAGAGGTTGAGGGAAATAAAAGTTGCAGCTGGGATTGATGAAAAGTGCACACAAGACATTGTGGAGGTTCCAAACAAAGCACGCAGTGGTTCAGGAGCACTTAAGGAACTGTTTTGTAAACCCTCACCACCTGTGCGTAGGATACTAATTGCTGCTATTGGAGTTCATTTGTTCCAACAGGTTTGTGGAATAGAGGGTATTTTGTTGTATAGTCCTAGGGTTTTTGAGAGAACAGGAATCATGAACAAGAGCAAGCTCTTATTAGCCACAGTTGGCATGGGAATCAGCCAAGCTGTGTTTACATTCTTGTCAGCATTCTTGTTGGATAGAGTTGGGAGGAGGATTCTGTTGCTGATTAGTGCAGGAGGTGTGGTTGTGACCCTGTTTGGGTTGGGTGTTTGCATGGCCATGGTGGAGCACTCCAAGGAAAAACAAATGTGGACAATAGGATTTACCATTGTTTTTACCTACATCTTTGTGGCTTTTGTGGCTATTGGTATTGGGCCTGTGACATGGGTTTATAGTTCTGAGATATTTCCCCTCAGGTTGAGGGCACAAGGTCTTGGTGTTGGTGTGACTGTGAATAGAATTTCCAATGTGGTAGTGGTTTCCACTTTCATTTCTATTTATAAAAAGATAACACTGGGTGGGAGTTTCTTTATGTACACTGGTATCACTGCTTTGGCTTGGTGGTTCTACTATACATTTTTGCCTGAAACCAAAGGAAGACCATTAGAAGATATGGAGACAATCTTTGGGAAAAAATTCCAAGTCAAAGATACAAATGAAGCCTGGCTACGACAAAAAGCATAGTTGGAGATAAGGATTCCCTCAAACGAATATTCTATCTTTTTATCATTGAGCTACTAGGGTGTGCTGTTTCTATGGAATTCAGATTCTCTGCTGCCTCTACAATATAATTTTCTCTACGGCACAAATTTTAGCCACTGATTACATTTTCTTTTTTTTTTCTTTAACAACTGGTAATAACTAATCAATGGTACCGATTTTGCAGTTTGGTGGCTGTAGAGAAATTTGGCTGCATAGGATCCTTTGATGGTTTCTATCACTTAATTTAAGGGAAATAATAGGTGAACACTTAACATCTGGATGATACCTAAAGAGGGA